TAAATTGTAAATAGGTAAACGAACAAATAAATGATACATGAAACATTAAACATTTTTGTTTTAGTAATTCCGGTAACCTTCATTATCTTACTTGCAAACTGCTTCCCTACAATTTATAATAATATCATCTGTGGATATTTTGTTTTACATAAAATACACTTATTAAGTAAAATGAAAAAAGGAGATGTATGACTTTAAAATTTAAATTAGGTTTAATATTACTTACGGGATATTGTACTACTTTTAAAATTGAAATACTTTTATTCTTTGCAACTTGTATTACTAATAATATTGCACCCAAACCTTGACTTGTGAGAATTTATTTAACTTTAATTAATATTGGTACAAGATTTTCTATAAAAGTATAGTACATTCGTGCAACTGGCCTTCTCTGATTTTTAAGAGGGTTGGATTTATGGAGCAAGATAGTCTGCTACGCAATTCCAGTACACGTAGGTTTTCTCAAAATGTCTCTGGTTTTCCTTTACCGCCGACTAGCCCCGATCAGCACACAAAAATGCAATCAATAGTTTCATTGGTTACCACTAGAACCAAACTGATGTAGCACGTTTCCACTGACTACAATAACTAGAGGTAGTTAAAAGTGAATACTTGTTTGAGGATACAAGTATTCACTTTTTATTTCACTTTCAATACACACTCTGCGTTCTGAAAATGTCTTAGTTCGTGTATTGCCAAATTTTAACGTAAGTCTTTTAGGAAATATATTTCGTAAATGAGCTTAAGAAGAGTAATAGATTCGCCGTTTGGTCGCGTTATGCCTCTTGGTGGTGTCTTTGTGTTAGATAAACGTGTTATCTTCTAATATTTTACAAGATGTAAAGTACCCAGACTTGCGACGGAAAGCGGCATTAACGATGCAAAATGTTTGGAAATACATTCGTCAATCCGACCAAGTGGCGATTATGCAAATCCTTACTGATATGAGATACGCAATGGTAGCTTAGAGCTTACTAGAAATTTACACATGTCTTCGAAAAATATTTCTATTTAATTATTGGTTATGTGTAGGTTTTCTCACGATGGTTTCATTCACCGCTAAGCCCGAGGTAAATCAAAAAATGCGATTAACGTTTTTATTGGTGCGGGCGAGGATCGAAACCGGTGATTATTCACGTACTGTGAAATTTACAGCAGAGCATTGGGGAAGGTGAGGTTTTTTGTTAATAGAATAAGGGTGACAGACGAGCACACAGTCCACCTGATGGTAAGTGGATGCTGTGGCCAATAGACATCTACATTTATTCTCGATTAAGAATCAAAACGCAGATGCATTGTCAACACTTAGGACTAAGATGGAATGCCTTGTTTCCAGTAAAAAAGGGACTCCGAATCTCTACACTCACCAAACGAAACACAGCAGCACTAAGCTGCTATTTTACGCCGATATTCTGTGAGAGCGTGGTCCTTCCCCGGTCGAGCCACCACAATCGTGCTACAACCATGATAAAAACAACTAGTGACCTCATGAAGAAACACGCCGAATAATTAAATCTGGACGTAAAATGGATAATACCTACCTGCGCCAAATCACCAAAGTTGTATGGGTTACCAAAAATACACAAGCCAAATGCTCTATTACGTCCCATAGTGAGCCAAATCGATTCACCAACTTACAGATTGGCTAAACACTTTGCGAAAATACTCTCACCGCTCAGGGGACATACAAGAGTACACATAAAAGATTCCTACCATTTTGTCGGCGAGATTAAAGACCTACATCTGGCAGACAATGAAACTATGGTCAGTTTTGATGCGCAGTCATTGTTTACATACTACATACATATTTTTTTCATTACATAACTGGAAGGCTAGGGGAAAACAAAATGCCCGTAGAATATGCAGTATTACTTAGACACTGCTGACATCTGGCTACCTATTGTGGAAGGAGGAATTCTACAAGCTAGTAGATGGCGTGACGATGGGCTCACCTGAATCTCCCATTGTCGCTGACACATTCATGGAAGACTTTGAGGAGAAAGCCCTGCTTACTTCTCCCATAAATCCAAGATTCTATAAGCGGTACGTAGACGACATTTTCACAATTCTACCTTTAGATAAAGTAACTGCATTATTAGACCATCTTAACTCTATAAATTCTAAAATTCAGTTCGCAATGGAGTTAGAGGGAAACAATTCTTTAGTTTTTCTAGATGTGTTAGTAATTCGGAATCCTGATAACACCTTGAGCTACTGTGTATAGAAAAAGACCGATACAAATAGATATTTAAACGGTGATTCTCACCACCATCCTTCACAGTTAGCTACCGTTAGTAAATCTTTATTTCAGAGAGCAACGTGACGGTAAACACCTGGCTCCCGAGCTCCAACACGTCAAGCAAGTTTTGCATGACAACAAGCTTCGGGTCCCGCGCCTACGTCACAGTAAATGAGTGAAGCCAGCCACAGTCGAGCGTGTACGGCATATGTTAGATGTGTATATATGTTTGAGGTGTCACTGACAAGATTGGCTACGTCTTGAAGCGCGCTTCCATTAAAACACACTTCAAGCCGCCGAAGATGATTGGTCGGTTTTTAGAATCATTCAAGTGTAACGTTCTTCTGCAAGATGCAGGAGTGTACAAGCTTGACTGTGAATGTGGTCTCTCCTACATAGGACAAACTAAAAGATCAGTTAAAACCCGCGTTAAAGAACTTATAGGTGATGTGAAAAATCAACGCTCCGGGAAGTCGGCAGTCTATGAACACGTACAGGATCGCCCCCGTCACTACATCGGATTTGATAGACCATAAATCCTCGCTAAAGAACACCGATTCCTTCCAAAGATGATTTGCTGTTGAAATCAAAAAACATCCTAATTTCAATAGAGAAGATGTCATCTACTTAGGATCCTATAATTATTAAAATTAAAACTAAATCCAAGCATACAACTGCAAGACTTCAAGATACTATAAGTTCGTACTGCATAGATCGGAATAAAAATCAATAATTTTAATCTGTGGTATCCGCGGTTAACTATTACATCTAGACGTTGAACATCTCAGTCTCCCCCGTGACCACAGATTATTATGATGCTATACATCCCGTGACCATGGGTGCTGTAAAGTGCTCGAAACGTCGGGTATCTAAAAAATTAAATATATACGATAAAATACGTAAAAACTAGTATTATTAAAATAAATGATCAATTTATAATTCAAATGAATAGGCCAATTTATAAATAAAAGCGAGCGAGCCTTACAGTAGTCGCATGTGATGTGTAACATCTGACATCTCACCTTGATAATAAGCAGCATTAATATTATTACATCCTGAAATAAGCTACATGTTTGTTTATTTAAATCTAAGTTAAAAATGTCAATTGAGCAACGAAAGAAATTAATTTGAAAATGTATAAAAGTATAAATACTGAAATATTTATTCAAATACACATTCATTATTGCATTTTTTATAAATGATCTGCACTTTTTTCAAACACTTATTATCAAAAATAAATACATTGATTATTAATAAATATATTTATTACTAATAAATGTATTTACTGTTGATATTCCGTAGATTGCGGGGGCATTTTTCCATAATTCTCAGGCTTGGCAAACGGGTTGGCAATCGTAGTTTTTTTTATTTAATTTTTTTACAGGAAGATTCTGTTGCTCATCTCTTCTCTCAGTTTCTGTATAATTGGGATATGTGTATATATCTTTCAAAAGTGTCGAACCTTTTCGTGATTCGGTGACACTTTTTTACTAGAAACGAGGCATTCCATGTTATTCCTCAGAGGTGACAACGCATCAGCGTTTTGATTCTTAACCGAGAATAAATGTAGATGTTTATGGGCCATAGCTATGCTCGTTTGTCACCCTTATTCTATTATAAAAAACCTCACCTTCCTCAATGCTCTGCTGTAATTTTACACACAACGGTACGTGAATGATCCCCGGTTTCGATCCTCGCCCACACCTATATAAACGTTAATCGCATTTTAAGTACTGATTTACCTCGGGTTTAGCGGTGAATGAAACCATCGTGAGAAAACCTACATATAACTAATAATTAAATAGAAACATTTTTGAAGACATGTGAAAATTGCTAGTAAGCTCTAAGCTACCATTGCGTATCTCATATCAGTAAGGATTTGCATAATCGCCACTTGGTCGGATTGACGAATGTATTTCCAAACATTTTGCATCGTTAATGCCGCTTCCGTCGCCAGTCTGGGTACTTTACATCTTGTAAAATATTAGAAGATAATACGTTTATCTGACACAAAGACACGCCGAATCTATTACTCTTCTCAAGCTCATTTACAAATATATTTTCTAAAAGACTCGTTAAAATTTGGCAATACACGAACTAAGATATTTGCAGAACGCAGAGTGTGTATTGAAAGTGAAATAAAAAGTGAATACTTGTTTGAGGTAGTTATTGTAGTCAATGGAAACGTGCTACATCAGTTTGGTTCTAGTGGTAACCACTGAAACTATTGATTGCATTTTTGTGTGCTGATCGGGGCTAGTCGGCGGTGAAGGAAAACCAGAGACATTTTGAGAGAACCTACGTGTACTGGAATTGCGTAGCAGACTATCTTGCTCCATAAATCCAACCCTCTTAAAAATCAGAGGCCAGTTGCACGAATGTACTATACTTTTATAGAAAATCTTGTACCAATATTAATTAAAGTTAAATAAGTTCTCACAAGTCAAGGTTTGAGTGCAATATTATTAGTAACACAAGTTGCAAAGAATAAAAGTATTTCAATTTTAAAAGTAGTACAATATCCCGTAAGTAATATTAAAGCTAATATAAATTTTTAAGTCCTACATCTCTTTTTTCATTTTACTTAATAAGTGTATTTTATGTAAAACAAAATATCCACAGATGATATTATTATAAATTGTAGGGAAGTAGTTCAAGTAAGATAATGAAGGTTACCGGAATTACTAAAACAAAAATGTTTGATATTTCATGTATTATTTATTTGTTCGTTTACCTATTTACAGTCTATACGAGATTCAGTTTACCAACCATAGTTAGCACCGTGACCGCTGTAGGAGATGTGGGAGACAGCAGGAGCGGCTGAGTACGCAACGGAGGATCGGAGAATAGGGGCAGCCGCAGCATAGGTCGTGTACGCGGGGCCGGCGGCGTAGGTAGAGTACGCGGGGCTGGCGTAGGTGGAGTACGCGGGGGCGGCGTAAGTAGAGTACGCGGGAGCGGCGTAGGTCTTAGCCACAATGGGACTGCTGTGAGCAGTTTGGGTGGAGTAGGAAGAGTACGAAGTTGCAGCGGGAGCGGCGTAAGTGCGGGTGGAATATGCGCCCACAGCAGGTGTGGCGAGAAGCTGAGTGCCATAAGCTACAGCTGGGCGAGCGGCGTAGGTCGCTATGGGAGAGCCATGTGTGGTTTGGGTCGAGTACGAAGATATGGAAGAGACAGCAGGAGTGATGATCTTGCTCACAGGGGGAGCAGCGGCGTAGGTAGTGGCGATGGCCGGAGCGGCGGCGTAGGTGGTGGCGATGGCAGGTGCAGCAGCATAGGTGGCGATGGGTGCACCGTGAGCAGTGTGGGTGGAGTAAGAAGACACAGAGGAGACAGCAGGAGTGATAGTCTTGGTGACCACAGCGGGGGCAGCGATTGCGTGGCTGCTATACACCGCCGGGCCAACTCCCAAAAGACCGCCAGCGCGAACCGCGCTTATGGCGCACAGAGAAACGATAACCTGTGAAAATAAAACGTTTGAACAAAATTATTTTTAAATTATGTAATCTTACAATTTTAATTACTCCATAAAAATCCTCAGGAAATTGTTCATGTCCTTTTTTATCCGTAATTAAATTAAATATTCACACTAACTTTTAACAGCGAATATAGGCTGTACATCATATTTAAATAAATTAATTCTAAGTTATAACTTAACACACCTTAGCGAACATTTTGTTGTTGTTTGTAGTTGGCAACTGAATAATTTTACAATGAGTGCTCCGGTTTTTATAAGGCTGCAGTTCGTACAATCCATTTCACCTTCAAGGTTAATGAAGGTCTACTTTTAATTGAGGGTCAAAAACAGGATCCAAAATAGCTTTAAGTACCAATTATTATATGTATATAAAAACAATGTAATAATATAATAATAAAAATAATATAATACAAAAAAATGGCCATTGTGGACATTTTTTAACAAAAGTCATCTCATGGATTGCCTTGATGGTGGGACATTGGCCATAGTTGGAGGGCTTTGCGAGCAGATTGGTGGCCACATTTATTTATTTTTTAGTCATTAATGATGACATTTCTATCTGTCTCCATGTGTGACCTCTTTGGACACCTGTGGGATGATTTGTAGTAGATCTTCTTACACCGCCACCTGGTCAATCGATCCTCGATCTTTGGCTGAGATATTTTAACAGTTACGCATTCTTTAAATTAAAATTATTTTAATTCATGAATTATTTTGTTATTTTAATTCGTAATTAAATATTTTCGTACATTAATATAATAATAATTTCCAATCTGGTTCTGCCCCTCACTAAACCCGCTCAGTACCTTACTGGAGGCCTCCGGGAGGGGATTTCAGCTACGGAAGAGAGGACAAAAGTGTCCCTACTTTTCTATATGGATGAACTCAAGTTATTCGCTCCCATGGAATTGCTAAACATCACTTGTGAAGTTAGCTATTCTATTGGAATGGAGCTGGGTAAGATTAAGTGTGCGGTCCTCCATGTTGCTAACTCTAAAGGGGAAGGGTTGCTAACTTTGAGGGTATAGACTTATCTATGCCCGTCAACTTAAGGACCCTTTCCGAGGCTGAAACATACCGCTACCTGGGTATGTCACAAAACGTCGTTATCAATGAGGCTGGTATGAAACAGTCAGTTTGCGACGTGTTTTATGCACGCTTGACTAAGGTGTTTAACAACCTTTTGTCCGGTGTGAATAAGACACCGCGTATAATGCCTGTCCTCATGTAAATCTTTGGCATACTCAGGTGGACTCAGACTGAACTTAACGCCTTGGATAAAAAAGTCCGCACTACCATGAAGTCCCATACGATGCATCATCCGAGATCATTGCTGATGCGGCTGTGCTTGCTGCAAAAGCATGGTGGGTGTGGCTTTCTGAGCGCGCTCACCAGCCTCGGTTATTACTTACTGGCGAGATCGGATGATCCATTCTATAATGACGTCATTTCTAGTGATAAAGGGCTTACCCTCTATCCTTAGCCAACGAGCAATGGCAGGACCCAGCAGTACTTTGCATTTCCAACCCGGAGATCAAATGGAAGGAGAAGGAGCTCCACGGTAGGTACTACAGGGCTCTACATGAGTCCTTCGTAGATACAGTAGCCTCCCTCCACTGGCTACGCTTTGTTGACCTCTTCGGGGAAACCCAGGGTTTTGTCTGTGCAATACAGGATCGGGTTATTAAGACCAACAATTTTCGGACATACATCCTAAAGGATGGCACCGTCGATGGCTGTCGAGCTTGTCGCCATCCCGGTCAGTCACTTAGGCATATCATCTCCGGTTGTTCGGCGCTTTCTACATCTGAGTACTAGCACAGGCACAACCTAATAGCCACAATTCTACAACAGGAGCTCACTCTGAAATACGGTCTCATGGACCGAAAAATGCCGTATTACAAGTACTTGCTGGAAGCCCTGTTCGAAAATGACCGCGCCAGGCTCTACTGGGACCGGGTCTTCATCACAGACAGGACTATTCTTGCGAATAAGCCTGATATTGTGCTGATGGACCGACCAGGGAAGAATATTTTTGGCCAATATTACCATTCCGTATGACGAGAACGTCGTGAAAGCCGAAACAGACAAGCAATCAGAATATCTGCACCTGGCTGGGCATGTGGGGCGGTCTCCCGACCGAAATTATTCCTGTAGTCGTCTCTGCAAACGGGTTAATTACAGCCAGCCTCTCGGGTCATCTGAGGCGGCTGACGGACCGCTCCGTGCTCAAATGCAGAAGGCGGTGTTCTTCGATATCGCCCGCATTGTCCGCCGGTTTCTTTACCTTTCCCCCTAACCCTCGGCCGTTTGGTCTCCCCTGCCGAGGGCTTCCATATGGTTGGGCTTTTATTTATTTAAGTATTATTTATTTATTTATGTTAGCATACTAAATATATTTTTACGTATATTTATCATTTCCTTTTATAAATTTATTCACCCCAACCAGATGTGAATACTCTATCAATAACACCCATAATAATAAATGAGGTATACAATTGCACATCTCTCTGAAATGACAAATTCGTCCAGACAAGCAGGAAATCGGTGATCACAAATAACAAGGCTAAAAAAACGATAACAGCGGTGTCGTGGATTAAAAGTCAACAGCAAAACATAGGTCGCATGTAATTACTCCTTGCAGTGCATGAGGTCTGTTTTACCTGGCAGGACAATAGGCTTCAGAGAAGAACTAAAATATCAAGTATTATTTGGGCAAACGTAATTGCATTTTGTCTTAAATATTAAAATTTCTAAAATGAGACAAATTGTTATCTTATTAGATTAAGTATTTAATTTGAAAAAGTATTTTAAAATGACGCAGATAATATGCGAAGTATTTTTAATATATGTAGATATTTCCAAAACGTGCACGCACGCACATGAGTTAACGAAACCACTGTAACTATTTGCACAATATTATTTATTTATAAATACATATATAATTAAATATCATAATAAAATTTTAAAGTATCATCACTAGTTCTAAGATACAACCACAACATATAATTTCTAATAATGCTGTTGCTAATCTCGTGTGGTGGGGACCTGGTGATTTGTACAAACAGGCATTTTATTGCCTAGCTCAGACACCAGTTCCTTACATTTCTATACTATGAGTGTGAACATACCCGTATTTGAATAGATTTAAGTTTTAATATGTATCGTCTGTTTTTTGAAGATAAATAAACATTATTATATTTCATAACATAATATAATTAATTAATTTCTGAGAGATTCATGGAGCAACTAGTTCTGCTCTCAACCACAGATGAACAGATGAGAACTTGTTTAATCAGCACTTTCTTATGAGTGTTTCCTTTCTTGAGTGTTTTGGGGTATTTTTGGGGCAGCAAAGAGTCCGTCGCATTGCCCCAGTGCGTGTTGCTGGTTATTCAATATCCTTAAAATATTTTAAATTTCTCTTTAAGGAAACCTGGATGTATTCCATGGTGTTTGCGTCCACCACTGAGCACGTGGTTAATATGCACTTAGTTGCAGTTGACAATTTCATTACTCTTAGCGGGAATCAAGCACAGTTAGCAGGCGAACGGTACACGTGGTACCGTTCACCCACAAACTGTGTCCACGTACGGTGGTAGAGCATGCTGCAGCATTGTTTTCATTGTAACACAAATGCTGTGTTTCGAATGGTGAGTGTTGAGAACCGGAGACCGTTTACTGGAAAGTGGTATTCCATATTTCTCTCAATGTTGACAACGCATCTGCATTTTGATTCTTAATTGAGAACAGAAATATAGATGTCTATGGGCCACAGCATCCACTTACTATCAGATGGACTGTGTGCTCACTTGTCACCCTTATGCTACAAAAAAAAACTATGAAGTTTTAAGTCAAAATTCTTGGCTCTCATTGCAAGAGTTTTACTAAAATTCATAAAAGATAAAATTTTACTAACAAAAATTTTCTTATTTCCATGGCACATAGGATAACTTTTCCATGATCAATTTTTGTTAATAATGGCTAATACCTATATATATGATGTATATAATGTACAAACAGAAGAAGCTCTGAGGCTAAGCGCTCAATGTAGATTTCGCAGTAGGTACGTAATCAACCCAGGTTCGATCCCCACCGGGACCAATAATACAGATCATAATTATGTTAGTTAGTTTTAAATATGAATAGTTTTACAATTATTTTCTACATCCCATAACATCAGACATTTGCATACGCATCCAGTGCCTTAGGATGGGACAATCAAATATATCGGATATTGCCCCTAGAATGCATTTAATTGCTGGATGTTTATCCATTTGCAATTCATGTATCATAAACACTTTTACAGTCCACGACCTAGTGTAGTATGGAAGTGGGGGGGAGGGTTTGAAAAAGAATGTAGGTATGTGGTAAATATTAAAATTATATATCCACCCTGTGGTCTATGTCCAGCTACTTCGGACTGATAGAGAAGAAAAAGAATCTTACGGTATCAATATTAGTTAAAGCATTAACTTAACTAAGTAACAACGTGTTAACAAAAGTAACATTTTTGCAAAACCACAAAATTCAAGAAGACTTAGTTCGATACTGGATCCGACTCGCGTGGAATATTCTTCTATTCAAAAGTTCATATTTAAATGACGTATTATACTCGTATAATATAATGCATAATATGTGTGTTATTATTCTACGAAATGCGCGAGTAATTTTAATTTTGTATACGTCAAATGCAAAAATGCTCTTTATCGTTATAAAAAACAAATCTATTTCCTTTATTGCAATGTGAAATGGGCGTTATGTGAAATCTGAAATAGTGCTTTATAACACGTGAAATATTCTGCGCAATTGATATCCGTTTACATTACAAAAAGTTTTATACACGGCCGTAATTATTCGGGAAAGCATCAACATTATCTTTCATTACGACTTGAACCAATTCTTGACATTTAAAGCTTTAATTTTAGGTAGGTAATAGTAGCCTAATGATTTAGGGTACCGACAACGAAACACGATCGCGGATTTGAATCCGCCATTCGCTTACTGTCGTGAACGTAAACTATTCTCAGTTGGAGTTCGTCCATTGAGGATGAGCACATGTTTGTAATCACTAATACTGTAAGTAGAAAGGTCGTTAGATACTTATTTCATTAGGTTTATTATATTTATGCCTGTTTCTTAACGCCAAGCCAGCCGCTTCTTATTTTTATCACGGTTATTTCCCATTTTAATTTT